TCTGGATGGAGCCTGCCCTGTCCTGAGGTGGCAAATCCTGTGTGCTTTGTGTTCCTGATGGTCTCCCTTCCCATGTCTAACTCAGTTCTTCCCTGTTTCTTCACCCAGGCTCCCTTGCTGCCTGGTCCTTCTCCCCTTGGCAGCCCATGGGAGTTTTGTTCCCACTGGTGCTTCCAGGCAGCTCCTCCATCTTCTCTTCCCCTTGAGGCACAAACACAGGTAGGTAGGCTGCTCCCTCCCCTTGTTGCAGTCTCCGTTAAAGATTTCTGGGCACCTCTGTGCATCAGGTCAGCACTGCTGTAGAGCTGCGGCTCTAGTGAGACCCTGGGACAGCGGCAACTTTAAGAGAGTGCCACATCCCACCTCAAAGGTGGCTGCATTCAGCAGAGGGGGAAGCTGTGTCCCTATCCCTGAGTTGGCTCGGAGGCAGTGCCCATCTAGGGTGCTTATACATATGCTCCAGGAGTGCAGGGTGCGGGGGAGCCACTCTATTTAAAGCACCCACAAGGTCACATGTAGCAGCAAGCATCCCTGTGCTGAAAAACGGCAACGCGGAAGCTTTAACTAAAGCTCGTTTTGGTTAAAGCACCCCTACTGCCATTCTTCAGTGCAGGGACACTGATACATGTGATGCTGGAGTCTGCTGGAGCATGGTGATTACCATGCTCCAGCAGACTTGATTAATCAAATCTGCTCCCATGCGCTATAATTACAGTGCATCAGAGTAGCCTCACTGCACATGTACAGGTGCCTTGAACACCTGAAAGTGATTCAAGGACATGTAAGGAGGGGAAGCTGCACCTGAGGGCAGCACTTGCAGATGGGAGAAAAGGTAGCCAGGCATACCCGCTACAGCCTTCCCCATCCATACTCCAGGCCTGGGACTTAAGGCCTTTAGGCTCCTGGCTGAGATGTCAAGGGTCCTCCAACCCTTGTTTTCAGGCAGGGATCTGTCAGTGCTCCATAGGCTGCTATAAGATGAGCACTGTGGGCGCCTCTTCCACTCAAGCTCCAGCCCCATGCACGTGGGCCCTGGGCTTGTGGTGTTGCCTCTCAGTTGCCTGCAAACATGAGCACGGGGCTGACAGATGCATGTCGGGGGAACAGGTGAAGGCCTGTCAGGGGAAGCTGTCTCCTGCCACACCCACACCCTCCCCCAGCAAAGCCAGAACAGCTATATAAATCACCCCTGGCCTGATGCATTCCCGGCTTCTGGCAGGAGTTCAAAGGACGGGGTTGCTGCCTACCCAGAATACTTCTGTCAGGTGTCCTGTGGGCACCTCTTTGGCAGCTAATGGGCCAAGGCTCTTGAAGTGAACAGGAGATGCCTAGAGGGCAGGCATTTGGAAAGCAGCAGGGAAGGGTCAGCAGAGCGCCAGGCCAGGAAGGATTCAATAAACAGGAAGAATTGATGGCTTCCCTGTGTCAGTGCCTTCACCACATCCCGGTGGGGGTGGAAGCACTTTCTGCAGAGCTAGTGCTGCAGTGCTAAGCTGCCAAACCAGGGTGGGGACAGAACAGCACTTGGGGGTGCAGACCCCCCAGCCACAGACAACTACCAGCCAGGCACTGGAGAGAAGGGTGGTGCTCACCATAGCCACAGCCCTCCTGCCTTGCTGCCTCCCTTTTCTTCATCTCTTCTGATAGTTTTCTCTCCTCCTATCTTTCCCTTCTTCCTTCTTTCCACTTCCTTTTGTGTTTACTCCTTCATTTTCTCCATTTCTCTTTCTTTCTTTTGCCCTTCCTTTCCCTTTCCCCTCCTGAATCCCAGCAGCCTTTTGCTATGACAAGCTGGTTGAGAATTGCCAAGCTTACTATATCAAGTGCCTTTGTGCAGGCTAGAGTTTCAGCATAATGGGATTTCAGATCAGGTGGCCATTTTTCTATTATGGTTCATTTCTGACTCACTGGCTGTCTGCCACCCATTCAGAGGCCATCTCCTTCCTTCCTCGCTGCCGTGCATGCTTTGCTTCCGCACTGTGGAACCTCTTGCTAAGGCACGGGATGAGGCCACAGGACTGGCCCAGCAAAAGTGCCTTTCCTCGGTCTCTTTGCAGGTTGCAGGGGGAGTACAGAAGATATACCTCACCTTCATTTTCCCTTCCATTCACAAGAGCTGATCAGACCCAACCCAAAATATATTTCCCAATATTTTCAACCCAAAATATTTTCCAGAAAAATATCTGCTCTCCCCGTTCTAGTCCCTATTTTCCAATCAGCTCCCCTACCTAGCCAGCCCCCATCAGACTCCTATTTCCAAGTAATTTGGCAAAGGTTTACACACAATATATTGCTTTACACAGCAATATATTGCTTTACACACAATATATTGTAGTGAGGGATCAACTGGTGAAAGGCTTTGGGGAAGGGATCTTCAGTCAGTTAGTTCAGTGTCTTTGTGATGTGTTTTGCCTAGGAAGGAGTGTAGCGCCCCTGCAGGGTCTTACATGGAGCCCTAGACTCAGCTCTCTGAGGCAGGGGCTGTCTTTTTGCTTTGTGTTTGTACAGCACCTCGCACCACAGGCTCCTGGGCTGGGACTGGGGCTCCTGGGTGCTTCCCAATAAACACAACATTTTCAAACACTCAAAAAAGGCCCAACCCCCACTGTCACAAAACCTTCCAAAAACCAGACATACACTGTCCTGATATCTCATTCAATATGGAGCTCTCTCTGTAGGGCAGACCTGGCTCAGATCTGGAGTGGAAGTACTGTGGAGACAAAATGTGAGGCTCTCGCCTTGCAGGCCTTTCACCTGCCTTGGGGCAGGGGGAGGGTGTGTGCTTTGAGCAAGGCTCCAGCAGATTTAGACCATTCAATCTCCTCAGACCGTGCCTCATTCTTCCCCTCCCAGCCCTTCAGATTTCCATCTGTCTTTTCCTTTCCTTGGCTGCACTCTCCTTCCTCCTCCAGCCAGGGCTGCCATTTTGGAGATGGCATCACCAGGATCTGGAGGCCTTTACCACATCTGTCCCTAAGGTGTTCAGTCACAGGGATGCAAAATGCCCCCAGCCCAGTCATTCTCAAGCTTATCTATCCCTGATCCACAGTCCCAAAGGTGGGCCCAGACATGCCAGCCTTTGACACTGGGAAATCTCAAGTGCTGCTGGTACTGCTGGGTCTCATGCACGAAGGATCCCACCTGAAGCCAACGGCACGATTGCAACTGTGCCAGGAAAGAGCAAGGAGTGCGAGGCAGCAGGAAGATCAAGCCTGGCCCAACTCCAGACCCACAGCTGATAGGGAGAAAGAGCTTGGTCAGAGACACCCAGAGCTGACGCAGATCTGAAGGCTCAGGGTAGGTTGGTCCATTATAAGCCACCCATTGCCAGCTGCCAACGCCATGCCCACTGCTAGCTTCCTTTTCTCCAGAAGTCCTGCTAAGGCCTGGGTTCATAGTGACCACAAACTTTTGGGTCACAAGGGCCACAGGCACACAGTGGGATTAATGGGGTCTCAGGGGTTACGAGGTGAACTTTGCGCACTGTCAAGGCAGCTGAGGAGAAGGTGTCCTGATGATGTGATGTGACTGCTCTCTCCCAGTGGCACAGACAGAGAGTGAGGGGGAGGCACTGGGATGGACAGACAGGCAGACTCAACTGAGCTCCCACTTCATGAGCAGCAAGGAGCTGGGAAGGGAAGGAAGGAGCCAAGCAGCGTGACTGAGTTAGTGGCAGGCCTGGCATGTGAAGGGAAGTCACAGGCAGTCAGGCCCCAGCATCCCTTGATCTCTTTGAAGCAGCCTGCCAGGCCCAACAGCATGACACAGTGCAGAGTGCTCAGCAGGACCCAGCCGCTCAGCTGCAGCCCAGCAGGAAACCAGGAGGCTTGTGTCAGCTTCCTCGGTGTCAATCAACAGCAACCCGAACTCAGTCCCTGCGTCAGCACTACAAAAGCTAGGGCAATAACAGACAGGGGTGTGCAGGCCTGGGTGTGGCAGAGATGGGGCTGCATGAATCACCAAGCCAGGACCCCCCTGCCAGGGCCCTTGCTCTACAATAGGCAGTACAGCCAGAAGAGGCTCGGGCACCCATGCTGTTCCCCATGGCAGTCATGACACCTCCCCCCAAGCAGAGCCCCCAGGGGACCACAGACTGTGTGGGCCAAGTTGGGGGTCAAGAAGGGTCCACCAGGGTAAGATACACTGGGCTAAAGGTGAGGTATTGTGTGTAACAAAACCGCAGAGCCCACACATCCCCATGGCCCATGAACAGCGCCACCACAGGGAAGAAGGTGGACAGAAACCAACCTTGCTGGTATGAAGGAAGAATGAGCCCCTCTCCCTCCACTACATCCCATTGCTGGCTTAAGGATCAGAGATGGTGAGACTTCTCCCCTAGCCTCCACTAAAAGGGGCCTATCCCCAACATTGACTCTCAGAGTCCTCTTTGCCCCAGGCTGGAAAGTGTCTGGTGCCTGCTCTGTGGGTGTGGGTACTTGAAACAATGTCCAGTGCTTCTCTGTCCCACCCATAGCCAGCACTGCCACATCATCCACCAGCCCACGGTACTCATATTTCCCCCTCCTGTAGCTACACGCAATGCTCCAGGACCTCAGTACAATTTACAGCCAAAATCAACAGCTCATCTCAGGAAGGTCCCCCCTGGCCATGGCTGTTTGCCAAGACAGCACCTTACCTCTGGCTGTGGCAAGCAGCAACTAGCCTCCCAGCACCTGGCGCTGAGCACAGCATAGACGGGACAGGTGACAGGGCTAACCGGGGGCCAGGATCTATGCCAGTGCTGCCTCCAAGTCCCCTTTGCCCCAAACAGAGAATGAACTACCCTGTATATCCTCCTCCAGACCCCCTCCTCCCACACCAGAAGGGCTCTGGCTCCATTATCCCACCCTGGGATTCCCTTTCCTGTGCTGGCAGAGACTGTTCCCCTTCTGAGTTTCAGCTCTCCCAGGCTGAGACAACCCTGAGCTCCCAGCAGTGGCCATGCCTGCAAGTGCAGCTCAGACACATCTCAAGAGACCCGTCCCTCTGACCCTGCCTACCTTCTTCGCAGTTGGCACCTGTGTGGCCTGGGCAGCATCTCCACTCTAGAGCCGTGAACGTTTTGTAGGCTACCTTGTATGTCGGCCTCACAATGGTTCTATAGCTGCAAAACACAATGGACCTTAGTTTTGGGGACTAGAAGGGTTTGGAATTAGCTCAGTGCTGCCATCCATCACCCACTCAGGGCCAGACCAGAGATCCCCAGGCTGGTGTTACATCTTCACCATCTCTGGCCCTTCAGATAGAGCAGGGGCGGGCAATTATTTTGGGCAGAGGGCCGCTTACTGAGTTTTGGCAAGCCATCGAGGGCCGCATGACAGGCAGCCCAGGGCAGATAAATATTAATTTTCTAAATTTTTTAGGGGCCCCGTGGGCTGCATAGAATGGCCTGGTGGGCTGCATCCTGCCCCTGGGCCACATTTAGCCCACCCCTGAGATAGAGGAAAACCTGTCCCCGCTCCACCCCACATGCTTAGGGAGCAAGGCAATGCCCTTCTGCTGGGCCCAGCTGGTGTTTGAGAGCATCCCACTGCACAGCAGCCTGGGGTGGCAGTCCAAGGATAAGCTGAGTGGGGAAGGTTGGCACCCCACAGCCTGAGGAGATGACTGGGGGCTGCCTGGGGGTAGAATCACAGGAGGGGCATTGCCCAGCTGGGTTTCATGAGTGCAGGTGGGCACTATGTCTGAAGGCAAATGAAGGCTGAATGGCCCAGCTGATCCAGGGTAGCACCATCCCCCTGGGACCAGGCTGGCAGACCAGGTCAGAAGGGACATGATACCAGTTCCTTGTTCCCATTCCAGTAGTGAGGGGTTTGAATTGCAATTGAAGAGCACAGAAGGGTGTAGGAAGAAGGAAAGCATCTTATTGCCTCCCCACCATCTCCAAGGCAGCTGTGCTCTAGCTCTGTCCCACCATAAGGGACAAGAGCAGCCTGTAGGGGGAAGCTGAAAGGTGGCAGCAATGGAGTCCCCCTCACCTGCCTCCGTTGCAGCCCATGGGCCAGCGGCAGGTCTGGAACACCCTCTGGAGGAAGGTGCCATTCTGGACGTGGCAGGACACTGTCCGGGTGACTGTGTACGAGCACCAGTTCCTGAAAGAGACCAACACAGGTGACATCATTTACTTTTCCTGCTCCCACCTGATGGGTGGTTGAGGGTGAGGCACATCCAGCAGCCCCAGTCACATGGGCTGGTGGTTTCATGACTCATAGAAACCCCAGACAGCTTCTGGAGACCCTGGTGGAGCCATATTGATATTGGTACTGATAATGATGTTGATCTTATTATCAAACAATAACAACTATAACAATGATATTAATATTAAAAGGAATAGTAATTATTAGACTGATAACAGTAATGATAACAATGCTATTGATATCGATAATAGCAATATTATTCATATCACTTCCTGTTACTCCTGGAAGACCATTTCAGGCTGGACATAAGGAAAAACTTCTTCACTGTCCAAGTCCCCAGGGCCTGGAATAGACTCCCCCCAGAGGTGGTGCAAGCACCTACTCTGGACACTTTCAAGAAACATTTGGATGTTTATCTTGCTGGGATCATTTGACCCTAGCTGACTTCCTGCCCCTTGGGCAGTGGGGCTGGACCCAATGATCTTGTGAGGTCCCTTTCAGCCCTAATGTCTATGAAATCTATGAAGGAGCTGCAGGGACCCCAGGGGGCAAGCCAGCTGGCTCATGATGGAAGCTCCTGCCACCAACCATGTGAACAAGTCCTCACTTGATATCCTGGCAAAGCACAGGGATGCTGGCAGTGTGTTGCAGAAAGGGTAGCCTCTCTTCCCACACTAATGCCATCACCCCGTTGAGGTCCCAACCAACAGTGCAACCCCATTGTGCTAGGTGCTGTACAGACCCACAGAGAGAGTCTGTTTTCTGCCCCAAAGAGCTTGCAGTCCAAATGGTCTCCTGTTCCAGGGCTACCTAAACCCCTTGCCTCTGCTTCCAGCAAGTGCATACTCCTTCTGCAGCTCCTATCTCTACCCTGCAGCACAGCCCTATTGCCCCTGCTCTACTCTGACACCTTGGTGCTGCTGCCACAGCACCGCTCTGCTGGGAGCTGTCTCATCCAAGATCCTGCCTGCACCCATCTCAGGCCTGCTTGCACTCAGGTCTCGGACTCAGCCACAGCTCATGCCCACTCACATCCCAAACCAACCTTGGGAGCCGCACAAGCCCCACCCCCCCCCAAACCAACCCTGGGCACCCGAAAAAGCCTCTGGTGTGCGGGACCATGCCTTAATGTGGGTTTGTACAGCTCCCAACACAAAAGGGCCATGAAGGGCTGGCAGGAAAGAAATATTAGAGCTCGGTAAAAAAAACATTTTGTCAGAGAAGCAGTTTTCCTCACCTGTGGGTTTCTTCAGGTGGGCTTCTGCTCCCTGAGTCCATGCCAGCAAAATAAAACCCATTTGTCCTTGTCAGTGGGACGGGCCCTTGTGGCTCTGGGCTTTGCACAGTAATCTGGCCCCTCCATGTACCCAGCTGTTGAGCTACCAATTGCCTCTGTCTCACAGCTGCTCCTTCATAGTTTGCTGTCCTAGGGTTTTGAAGCTCTTACTGAGCCATTCCCTTTTCAGCAGTCTCCCCACACCTGCAACTACTCAGTGGGGCTGGCTGCCCCTTCTTCAGGGGACAGACCACCCTGCTACAATAGGATAGATGCAGGGTCCAGGGAAACTGAGGCACAGAATGAGGAAGGGACCACGGGCCAGCGGCAGGTCTGGAACACCCTCTGGAGGAAGGTGCCATTCTGGACGTGGCAGGACACTGTCCGGGTGACTGTGTACGAGCACCAGTTCCTGAAAGAGACCAACACAGGTGACATCATTTACTTTTCCTGCTCCCACCTGATGGGTGGTTGAGGGTGAGGCACATCCAGCAGCCCCAGTCACATGGGCTGGTGGTTTCATGACTCATAGAAACCCCAGACAGCTTCTGGAGACCCTGGTGGAGCCATATTGATATTGGTACTGATAATGATGTTGATCTTATTATCAAACAATAACAACTATAACAATGATATTAATATTAAAAGGAATAGTAATTATTAGACTGATAACAGTAATGATAACAATGCTATTGATATCGATAATAGCAATATTATTCATATCACTTCCTGTTACTCCTGGAAGACCATTTCAGGCTGGACATAAGGAAAAACTTCTTCACTGTCCAAGTCCCCAGGGCCTGGAATAGACTCCCCCCAGAGGTGGTGCAAGCACCTACTCTGGACACTTTCAAGAAACATTTGGATGTTTATCTTGCTGGGATCATTTGACCCTAGCTGACTTCCTGCCCCTTGGGCAGTGGGGCTGGACCCAATGATCTTGTGAGGTCCCTTTCAGCCCTAATGTCTATGAAATCTATGAAGGAGCTGCAGGGACCCCAGGGGGCAAGCCAGCTGGCTCATGATGGAAGCTCCTGCCACCAACCATGTGAACAAGTCCTCACTTGATATCCTGGCAAAGCACAGGGATGCTGGCAGTGTGTTGCAGAAAGGGTAGCCTCTCTTCCCACACTAATGCCATCACCCCGTTGAGGTCCCAACCAACAGTGCAACCCCATTGTGCTAGGTGCTGTACAGACCCACAGAGAGAGTCTGTTTTCTGCCCCAAAGAGCTTGCAGTCCAAATGGTCTCCTGTTCCAGGGCTACCTAAACCCCTTGCCTCTGCTTCCAGCAAGTGCATACTCCTTCTGCAGCTCCTATCTCTACCCTGCAGCACAGCCCTATTGCCCCTGCTCTACTCTGACACCTTGGTGCTGCTGCCACAGCACCGCTCTGCTGGGAGCTGTCTCATCCAAGATCCTGCCTGCACCCATCTCAGGCCTGCTTGCACTCAGGTCTCGGACTCAGCCACAGCTCATGCCCACTCACATCCCAAACCAACCTTGGGAGCCGCACAAGCCTCTGGTGTGCGGGACCATGCCTTAATGTGGGTTTGTACAGCTCCCAACACAAAAGGGCCATGAAGGGCTGGCAGGAAAGAAATATTAGAGCTCGGTAAAAAAAACATTTTGTCAGAGAAGCAGTTTTCCTCACCTGTGGGTTTCTTCAGGTGGGCTTCTGCTCCCTGAGTCCATGCCAGCAAAATAAAACCCATTTGTCCTTGTCAGTGGGACGGGCCCTTGTGGCTCTGGGCTTTGCACAGTAATCTGGCCCCTCCATGTACCCAGCTGTTGAGCTACCAATTGCCTCTGTCTCACAGCTGCTCCTTCATAGTTTGCTGTCCTAGGGTTTTGAAGCTCTTACTGAGCCATTCCCTTTTCACTCAGGGGGGCTGGCTGCCCCTTCTTCAGGGGACAGACCACCCTGCTACAATAGGATAGATGCAGGGTCCAGGGAAACTGAGGCACAGAATGAGGAAGGGACTTGCCCTCTGGCACCCAGAGGCCAATAGCTGAGCTGGGATTGGAACCCAGCTCCAGCCCTTCCCCACTCCCCATGCCACCAGCTGAATCCCTCTCACTACTGGTGAGATATGGCAAGGGCACAAGCAGGGCATACCTGGTGCCTCAGTCCTGCTCCTGGGGGCCAAAAGCTGTTCAGCTGCTGTGGCATATTTGCCATGGCTGCCAGTGGGCAGGCTAAAGGGCCCCTCCCTGCAGAACGTGCTCCTCTAGGTCTAAGGGCCAACCCAGACTGCTCACCTCCAGGCTCCGTATGCCCAGCAGCCTCTCTGAGTGGCCTTCTCTAACATGAGCACAGAGCAACATGGACATTTAACACCAAAGCCAACTCTCTCTCCCTGAGACCATGCCCTGCATGCCCTGTTCTCCCCTGGGAGAGAGAGAATAAGCCATGCAGGGCAGAAATTAGTCATGTCACTTGATGTGGTCCTAGGAGGTTCTCCAGCAGCTGAGGCATCTGGAGAGCCCTTGCACAGTGAGCTCTGTTCCCACCTGGCAGATGGTTGGGGATGAGGCACATCGGCTGCCTGCTGTGCTGGGAACTGGACCAGGCAATCAGCAGCTCATTGTGCAGGAGTCACCAAATCCCTGGCTGCTTCTCAGCACCACTGAACACCCTGAGACATGTCTGCATCAGTGGTAGCACACTCCACACTGCTCCCAGACACCTGCCACGTGGGCTTCACCCTCAGCCCCATCAGCACTCAAGGGTGAAAGGCCCCATTGCCAGGTCTCAAAGTCCTGAGCTGCCTGGTCATGGTAAGGGCAGCTCAGAGTTTTCTCTAAACCATCTGGTGATGGTTGCCTGATATCAGAGTGGAAAGAGCATGGGTCCTCTCAGGTGAGATGATGTTCACAATAGTATGAGGAGCCCCTCAGCCAATCACCTATGGGACCTGTGTGAAAGCATGAGCTTCTATGGCTTAGAGTCAATGGGAGATCTCCATGAGAGCAGAGGCTGTAGAAACACCAGTAGCCTCTTCCTCTGGGCCAAAAGCCATGCTGGCCTTCAGATAGACTCGAGCAGGTGTATACACCCATCCTTGTGCCTATAGAGGCATGTGTCCTTGGCACAAGCAGGTGTGCACCTAGGGTCCAGAGACTGCCTTTTGGTATCCTTGGGCCCTCAGGCCACCTGCATCAGGAGAGCCATTGCCCCCAGCAGTCTGATTAATCTCCCCCTGCAAGCAGACACACAGCCAGACTCCCACCCTGCTCCCCAGCTGCACATGACAGAGGGGTAGGGCAGCAGGACCTGAAAACTCACTATAAAGAGAGACTGGATGAACCATTTTAGAGAAAGACTGTGAGTGGAAATGTGGAGAGCTCGGTGCCAAGCCTCCCTTTCCAGGGGCTTCTGTTTCCCATGCCAGAGTCATAAACCCCTGAATAGAGGGATTTAAAAAGGAAACACTCACGGAGACCCCTGGGTCATATGCCCCAGCACTGCCCCCCTTTCATTCAAACACACAACCCAGATGGGACCAAGCTGATACTGCCCTCTTACAACCTGTGAACAATCGGGTAACGTGAGCCCCTCACTGCGGCCAAAACACGTGCAGTTTGGGTGTCTGGTTCTGGGACACCCTGTCCGTCTCTGAATGGGGGCCTTTCAGGACAGGGAGAGCCACAGGCCTGCTAGCCAGCACTGTGCACG